GATTGCCATCTATTTTGAGCTAGGGATTTTTGGTTACCTTATTAATTTCATTGCTCCTACTTCTTTAACCGGAAGCGAAGGTGTTCCTTTGACAAGTGTCGTTTAGACAGTGCCTCCTGGGGGCTTAAACTATAAATTTATTCAATGTTGTTGTCATGTTCAACTAAGAAGTATATTAGGAGTTGTCCTCCGCGAACTGTGTTAAGCGCTCTAGTGTTTTGTTTTACAGGACAGATGTTTTACTGGTAGTCAAAGGTGCTTGGTTGTTTATTTGCAATAATTATCCCAACTGCATATCTTAATTCTCTAAATCTACTGCCAGTCATTTTTTGGAACAGGCCCATTTCACTCTGTTTGCTTCTTCCGAATGAAGATGAACCAGAAGCATTGTTATTGTAATTCTCCTCTTCAAAAATGTTGTTCTGTGTTTTTCCTGACACTCTGCCCTTCACGTTAAATTTAAAGGCACCGTTGTGACGGAATACTCAATTTTCACACTTTAAGTTACACAAAGCATGTAGACCCCTGAGTGCATACCTGAAGAAGTACACCCAAGATTGCCAGATTTGTGTTTTATTTCATATGTCTTCCTTTCAGAAATTAAATGAATGTTTAGGCGTATGCTTGTCTTTCCCATTCTCGAATACTAGTTGAATGAACGCCTCTAAAATTGAAAATGTCGGAACTATTTTCTTCCGAAACACTTTATATCGAACACCTTCGAATTATAGTTCAACCACCGTTTCCGTCGATGTCGACCGTGTCCCCCTCAGCAGGGTGAGCACAAAGAAGGTGGTTTGCACGTGGATAAAGTTATAGTGACGTTAAACTTGCACGGCATTTACCGCAATCTCCTCCCCTTGCCTTTCGGCTATTTTATCGTGACCAGGTGAGGAGGACTGGGAGGTAGGATAGTACGACCGCAGCTGCTGACGCGTAATTCTGCAATTAAGGGTATCCACAGCTCATGCGCGGTATTTTCTGTGCCTGTTCATATGTAATCACACCTGCCGTGCACTGATATAACAGGCTTCTGTCAGCTTTTTCGGTGTTAATATTGATCCAAAACTTCTTCGGATTTTAGCCCTTGTTTGTCGTGCTTACAAACTTCGTATTTTTCCATTGAGTATTCCCCTTCCCGTTATCTCCGCCTCTAAACGCCCTCCCATCTCCCTCTATCTCCTTCTGGCTTCTACGCATGTGTTTCTTCATAATGAAGTATCAACGGAAATAACGTTGTAAAACAGTGCGTCGCATCTTAGGTGGAGACAGCGCCTTTTTCTAAACATCAAACCGTTTAAAATTTTATTTTTTTTCTCCCGCCTGAGCAGCTTTCTCCAGGACTTTGTGAATAAACAACTGGACACTTAGGAGGTCGTCTTCAAATTACCTTGTTTACGGGCATCTTCATCTCCACGTCTGCCTCCGCCCATAATAATTTCGCATAAGAAATTTTCAGCGTCTTATTCAGGCAGATGATCCCGGCTAGTGTGTCGCACACGTTTTCCAAGTCCCCACCACCACCAACTCCTAACAAGATTTCGTTCTGACTGCTGGGCTGTCGCGGTTACACATCAATCGTTTGTCTCATACCGGATTTGTCGCAACGTAGAATTACTTTGCGCAGTATAATTATCCGTTTTAGTCATTTTCAGATTTACTTTTTAGTTGCAACCAACTTTAAGTAGAAATGTACAGTGCACCCGCGGGGCCCTTAGCAAAGCAGTTTTTTTCATAAATATTTCAGTGAATATTTTAACAAAACAAGCACGTCGCAGTTTCAAGGTTAAGGTCGATGTAAATAAACAGATCAGGAATGGACCAAAATACGAAATTCTGTCCGATATACTTGCATATTGTTCCCTCCTCCCTTCGTTAATTCACCTCGACTTTCACTTTGAAACTGCAATATGCTTGTATTGTTAAATTGTTGTCACGCGATTACATTCCTTCCCTCGCGGGGCTCACAACAAGGTCCTA